ATTAAAGAAATCAATCTATGGACTCAAACAGGCATCTCGTCAATGGTATTACAAGTTTCATCAGGTGATCATCTCATTTGGTTTTGAGATGAATTTGGTCGATGATTGTATATACCACAAGTTCAGTGGGAGCAAGTATATTTTTCTGATTTTATATATCGATGGCATATTGCTTGCTAGCAACGATATAGGTTTATTGCACGAAACCAAGAGATTTCTAGCAAAGAATTTTGAGATGAAAGATCTTGGTGATGCCTCTTTTGTATTAGGAATTCAGATACACCAAGATCGTTCTCGGGCTATTCTTGGATTATCACAAAAGAGCTATATCGAAAAGGTACTTAAAAGATATGTCATGCAAGATTGTAAACCATGTGACACCCCTGTGGCTAAAGGAGACAAGTTCAGCTTAAGTCAGTGCCCTAAAAATGACTTGGAAATTAAAAAAATGCAGAAGACTCTTTATTCCTCAGCTATAGAGAGTCTGATGTATGTTCATGGAATATGGCTGCATAATTTTGTCACAGGGCTGCGCATTGTGGACAATATAGAAAGACCACTTAAGATATTTTGTGACAATAAATCAGCAATGCTGTATTCTAATAACAACAGGAGCTCGACGAAGTCAAAACATATAGAGATCAAGTTCCTAACTGTTAAAAAAAGAGTTCAGAGTTGACAGGTGTCAATAGAGCATGACAAGCTCCATAGTTGTGGATCCGCTAACTAAGGGATTGATACCCAAAGTCTTTCATGAGCACACTGCTCATATGGGTGTAATGTCTCTTGAGGATATGTAATTTCAGTGAGAGTTTGTATTTTTGCTTTTCATATTGGACACATGCACTGTTGTTTTGAATACGGTTTAAAGTTAAAGTTATTTTCAGTTATAAAGTTATTTGGTTAATTATCTCTGAACTTGTTTAAAATGATCTCACTAAAGTATTAAGGTGGACCAGTTGGAAATAGGCATGTTACAGATCACATTACATGTAATTTTCATGCTACACATCCATGCTTGATCCATGTTATTCGGTTATATTGATATACGTGACCATTGATGGGTTTAGCTACGTGAAAGTAGCGAAAGCCGCTTTGATCCTATGTTGATATGATTGATGGACGGGATTGTTTGGGGATACATTCGGTAATGATAGCAAAATTCTGAGTACTCATAAGGTTATATTCAATGCACAATTATAAGGTGACACATATAGCCCAAGTGGGAGATTGTAATGATTTTTTAAATCAATATATGGGCTTATATGTGTGAATAATTGTGTGTTAAATTATAGGCTATCGAATTCGATTGAGCCCAATTAAAGTGATCTAATAAGGCTTTGGTTTTGAGCTTTAATGTATCCAATTAAAATATGGGTTTACATATATGTAGAGGCCGGGTCCAAGTCCTAATTCTATGATGGGCCGAATTAGGTCAAAGGGCATCCCTATATAAATAGGTTATGGTCCCCAAATCACACGCACGTATTATTCATTCTCTATTGCATCCCATCACAGAGAGGAAAAGGAAACTGCGTATAGATTTGGAAGACTATACCGCGAAATTCATATTGCATTAACTATGTCTGATTCAGGTACGCTTCCGCTTTAATTCTTGTATTTCTTAATGATTTAATATGAAAGATTTGTAATTTAAAGCATTAAATTATCCAATAACTTAGGCTTCAAAAACTTCACACATTCCCTAAGCTCATTGTTGTTTGAATGCTCGCTATAGGGAACAAGATGAATCTCAAATGAATCCATCACTCTCACCACGAACTTATTCTGCTTCACTTCATAAGTCCACCTGGTGGATACGAAATCCCCCAACCTTTGAATACCTTATCTCACTCATAATTTCATTCATCTTCGAGAAATTGGGTATAAAATATGGACTAGTCTCGCCCAAAACATTCCAATGAACTAACAACTTGAACATCAATCTTAGATTCATCCACAATAAGCATCCCACTTTCCTCCAACCCTAAGCACTCAAAACCGACATCTTCCTACTGCACACATGAAGCTTCCTTTTACACCTTCATGAGATCTCCATCAAAATCTTTGCTTTCCCAATAACATTTGTCGCAACTAGAAGCAATACATTCTTTGCATTCTCCCCCACATTATCCTTATTTTCTCAAGGTGCTATTTCCATCCACATTTTTTATAAGTACATTTCACTCTAAGTTCATCCCTAATAAAATTTTAAAATTTTTAAAAAAATACTATTTACATCGACGTTATATTCCAATTTTGTCCTTATTAAATTCATTCATTTAAATAACATATATCCACATAAATTTTAAGTACATCCCTAACACTAGATTCACACAATCCCTAAAATATAAACTCTTTTAAACAAAATGATTGAACTACTAACAAAGATGATATTAATTTTATTACATTCATGTCTTAGATTTAGGATTTCATCAGTTAGCCATCGTTCAATGTAAGCACATTTCCCCATGAAATTATTATTATCATCTCTAAATAGTTAAAGGACAAACTGTATACGTTAACATCGGAACATAAGAATTCATGGCAGTAGCAAAGTTTCCCATGAAAATCTAAAAAAGAAATCTTTAGGTCACCAAAAAATTATTACCGTTGGAGATAATATATATCATTGAACATTAAATTAATATATATTATTCAGCTAACCATTTTAACAGTGTTTACTAGAAATTTTATCATTCTTATTCATGAAACTCAATTCATCAAAGGCAAACCACCATGAATCAACATCCAAATTAGGAGGATGTTTGTCTCTATAGAAAGTATACCGACTAACATTTTGAACTCATCGTGTTTGGATGATAATTGGTTTGCTTCAATCATCTCTTCATGGTATGCCTAAATCCAAAATTACAATTAGAAAAATTACATAAATGTTTAGAGAAAAATATTTTAACATGCCTAAATTTCTTATTTTTCAATTAGACAAAAATGCTTCACATTAATAACAAGTAGAAAACATCACTTGCTAGAAATAATTTGTAAATAATATATCAACGTGAATCAAAATTAGGCTTCAAATCTTTGCGGATAAACATAACATGATTAGGTAATTGAATAGTAGCGAACAAATCAAGTAATTGTTCAATCAATAATAGTAGTGTTATCAGATCAAAAAAAAAATAATAGTATTAATTAATTGTTCTTATGGTTTATCCAAATCAATTATCTCTGATATAGCTACACCTTCTTCTACCAGGGACCTAAAAAATTGCATCATAGCATGATAAGGTGTAGCCCAACCTTCTACACATGGATGATGGCACTTGTACCAACTACAAGTCCACTAGTATGCCAATTTACCTGTACACAATCACATAGAAAAACATAAGTAGAAATATTATTTTGTTAATTAAAAATTTAATTAATTTGATGAATATTTATCGAGACAAAATGGCAGTCATTGACAAATCCAATTGCAACAATCTTATGAGATGCGATTGCAAGTGGTTCATCCTAAAGTGGAAGAAATGTAAGACATTGTTGTTGGCTCAAGTGAACAAAAATAATTTTATATCTTGAAGCAATAACATGACCCATATCTGGCATAGTCATCCAATACTCACGACTTGTTGAACCATCAAAATGAGAAAGTAAATGAATCAACTCATGGACCATATCATCATTTCCATAGAGTCTAGAGTAATCATCAAAATGAGATTCAAGCTCCTTTATTATGTCTTTTCTGACCAAAGACCAGTTCTCTTCACCTATACCTAGAATATTAGCCACGGCCCGAAAACCACAATTGCCATCTGCGGCCACATCTTGCACATCAACTATGTAAGGTCTCAAACAAATAGGAAACGAATCAAAATAAGCCATGGACTTTAATCCATGTGCTCGATATACCTTTTGTTTTTGTCGAATTGGAGGCTGGCGTGATAACATGGGTTGACTTAAATGTGTAATGGAACTATCCAATTATTGTAACGTATTGTCTTGTCCAGATAGAACTAACTTAAAATACAATGGGTCTCGACGAGTAGATACATCTATTTTTGAAGATGGACGACCCTTTGTCTTAGTTTGGACTTGTGGCTCAACTAATGATGTAGAACTCGAACTAGCAATCTCTTTCGATTTTTGTAGGATTTCTGCCTTCACATGATCATTATTATCTCGTTAATGTTTTTCAATCATTTCAAATAATGATGCACAATTAATTTCGGATGTGTTACCTTTATCAAGAGGAACTAGATCAAGCTTCTTCCAGTGAGAGTGTACTCTTGATAAAGGAATTGAGATTCTTTGTTATACTCTGAAATCTCATGGGCACACGATAATCCATGTGTTTGTCGTATAACACATCCACAAGTTACCTTGTCAGTTCCTATGTCATCAGCTCACTTGGACTCTTGAAAAATCAGATTCATTGCAATTCTTGATGTAAATCCCCTAAGCTTTTTAAACAAGGTAGGTTTGAAATTATGTTGGACAGTACCCAAACTCTTTTCAAACGATGCTTTAATATCTGTATGTTGTAGCTCCAATAATGCATGAATTCTTGTCCATGATGTGTCAAAATTACCTTGGGAAGAACCTAAATGCCTTTTAAGTTTTGCATGTGCAGATTCAGCCCTATCATGAAAAATAAATCAGAATCACTGTACATTAGCACACTTAATAATGCAAATAGCAATTTAATAATGCCAATAGAAATTTACCTATTAGTTGTCGTGTTTCCAAAGTGCATGTTTAGATTTATCCAAGCTGCCACAAACTTCTCTTTATATTGAAGAAGCCATGAATTCATTACATAATCAATTGCTTGTGGAAATTGTTGAAAATTGGATTTTAAGAGATTTAGATTTTATTTGTACTCTTTTATGGATGTTGAAAGCACTAACAAATTCCACATATATAAAGGCATCCCATTGGTCCTTGTGATTGTCAAAATATTTTTTTTTGTTTTTGCCAACACATTCTTTGAAATGTGCCATCTACATAAAATATTAGTAGATGTTGGAAATATTTTTTCAATGGCCTTCATAAGAGCTAGCTCTCTATCAATAACAATAACACTAGGCATTATTATATCGTTCATTAGACTCTTCAATCTCCCTAAAGCCCGTGCGTAGTTTTCCTCACGTTATTTTCCCAAGTATGCAAAAGCGATCGAAAATGTTAAATCAGTAGAAGTGACACCTACTATTTCCAACAACGGTAGGCGATACCTATTTGTCTTATATGTGCAATCCATAATTATCACACGAGAAAAAGCTCGCAACAAATCTACTAAATATGGATGTGCCCAGAATAAATCTTGAACTATATTCGTCTCCATATAGGTGCGGTGCCACTCTATGTACTTATTCTCAACAAGTCTATTCATTAGTTGTTGCATTTGTGTCCTTCCAGCTTGTTCTTTGAGCCTGAACTTCTGACATGCATTGTAGACGTGCCTCATTGTGCTAACATTTGTGTCATCATTTTGTTTCAATGTATATGATATTTCCTTTGGTCTTACATGTTTCTTTGCCATGTTTACTAAAATTGAAGTCCCTTTCTCAGTTAATCTCCCAGCATATGAATGTCCTTCAAGGTTTTGGGCAATGTCATAATTATGTCTCCTACATTTCACTTTCAATATCCAATAATCACCATTTATCAATTTTCTTCCATTCAATGCGAATGGGCATCCACATTGTTTTGTTCCAGTAGTTCTTCGTCTCTTTCATTTTTCATTTTCTTTATTAGTATTCCTACACCTATATGAACCATGTCTTTCACATGCAAAATCAATTCTTGGTTTTCTCCCAACTTGGCCAAAGTCGGACTTTTTCATAACAACAATCATGTTATGTCTCTTACCAGTAGTTTAAACCCAATCAATCAAGGCCTCTTTACTTGTAAACATCTGTTTATCATCAAATATTCATATATAAATATATGATCATGTTAAAAAAAATTATTACGTACCATGTTTGTCTTAAACATATCCGTATAATCAACAAATAACTCATTCTGGACATCATAGCTATGGGTTGATGTATCCTACATTAAAAATATGGTTTTAAATAATGTCATTGAAATGAATTTAACAATAACTAATATAAAAAATGCAACATTGGATAAGTATGTGAAATAGCAGATGAATTGGAACTTTTCTAAATACTTGTGAAAAAACTCATTAATGTATTAATGTGTTAGGAAAAAAATCAAACAAAACACGATAAAAATGTAATCCTTACTTTTTCAAAATTCTCTTCATATATTGCTATGTCTGTCTATTTTTGCTCTAATGGTGTCTTTTCCATTGTTTATTAAATTTCTGTGTATTGAAATTCTGAGTATTAGAATGCTTCGAACAACAAAGGCTAAAGAAAAAAGAAGAAGAAAGTTCAATTAAGCAAGCTGAATTTTATCAACTTTGTATGCCGAAGATATTGAACACATGTACTCTGAAAACTTTAGCTAATATTTGAAGGCATAATATATATGCAAAATTTGATTTTTTTAATTGCCCGACTAATAAATACTATCTAACGAGAAGGGAAAAATTAGACAAAGAAGAGGATTCAGAAACTACGAAAATTGTTCAAAAACTAAAAGAAGTTAGCAAGATATGATTTTACTTGTGCTTTTAGCTGCTCATTCTTCTTGAGAATGGAATCATAATTGGACAAAAGAGACTTGAAGCGGATTTGAGTTGATCATGATCCCTTTCAAGCTATTTGTTCTTCCATTGTGCACAGCGATTCTAGAACCACACTGCCTTCTGTCGGGACTCGGGACTGCAAACCCAAATTTTTGGCCAGATGAGTTTTGCACTGTGGCTCTAGCTTGTTCTCTGCGTCAAACCTCTTCTCAAGCAAGTTCACCAATAAATCAAACAAAAAGAGTAGAGTAAATACTTAATACAAGAAAATAGGATAATTTTTCATAGGACTTCAAAATCAAATTGTAATCATCTGGAAATCAGCAATCCGTGGACTTGAATTCTTGATTAGAATTATATTGAGATAATAGGGTAGTGATCAAATTACTTGAGTATTGCCTAATTTTCCCTAATTATATTCATGTAGTTTTTCTTAATATATTAGGATTCTAGTTAAACACAAATTCTAAGATGATTTAATGAAAGTAAAAATTAGTGGATCAATTTAGAGTTTTGTATTTTTATTTTAAGTGGAAGTTGTGATTTCAAGAGATCTGGTCTTGACACAGCTGCTTTAAGAACCAACCACTCTTTTGAAATATTAGTTTGTAATTAAAGAGCCACAATGTAGATTAGAGAGAGACGCTCTCAAACTCTAGAGAGAGAAACACTCACTAGAGTTGCCTCATGCACTGTGAGCTCATTCTTCCTTGTTTGAATTTACCTTCTTTGGTATTTTCGAATTTGATTTGCAACTTTTATTAAAGTCTGTTCAGTTTTACCATAGTTTGATGTTGAGGATTTCAAATTCTTGGAGCCTTAATTTCGACCAGAATATGACAGGTTTCTTGGATGCTTTGAAACTTTCACTTTGGTCAGATCCATAGATACATCATCCGGCCAGAAAATTCAGAGCTTTACTCATCCTTTTATTTAGATTTTCAAGCTTTCTTCCTCTCATTAGAAGACTTGATAACAGCAACAAATTTTGTTGCATGGTTTATGCAGTTTTTTTGCATAGTATGCCCAGATTCTTGGAGCTTCTCTAGGTATCTTTAAAGATTCTTAGTGTAAATTCTTTATGATATTTTTCCAGATTCAGTTTTGGGTGTGGCTTGAACTGTTACTCCAAATCGGTTTCGATCAGTATTCAAGGCAGTTTTCTGGTCAGTGTGGCCTCGTGTGTAGTTCCCTCCAATCTCAGATTGTTCTAAGCTATTTTGAGGTAGGGCTGTTGGTTTCTTTGGCTTTCGGAATATACTTGCAGGTGTATTGGAAGCTTGTTTTTGCGGTTTGATTAGTTTAATTCGTGACTGCTTTCATTCCTTGGCTGATGGGTTCATTGGTTGCTGACCAGTTTCGGTCTAGCTCTTTTGTTGATCGACCAGATTCTATCTAACTTTGGGTGGTTTCGTCCAACTCAGTTGCTTTCAGTCTGGACAGTCTTTAGAGATTCAGATTTGGTTCTTGAAGTGTTTGAGGATCTGGTGTTCATCTTCATATCTTGAAAGTTGTATGTATTTGTAGTGATATTATTCAAATTGTAAATTTGGATTGGTGTTGTTGTCATACTGTCAATTGAGGATCACGTGTTCTTCTGGCTGGATTTTCAGGTTTCAAAGTTAGGTAATTAATATATCTTGCCCCTTACGTAAGTTTAGTATGTTAGGACCTTGTCTCAGATTTCTTTGTTCTTTTATGATACTTATCCCCTACTTTCTGGGATTCTGTAGTCTATGCTTGCCAGCCTTTCCCCCGGTGTGAGTTTTAGTTTTGCTAACACGAGTGGAATCACACCATTTAATTCATTACGTGATTACTGAATGAAGTCTTGGATCCTTCGTTATAATTTGAAATCAGGAAAGTTTTTGCACAGTCCCATTTCATTGTAAAATATAGTAAAATTTTATTTTTAAAAGTGGATGTACTTATAAAAAAGTGTGGATATATATGTATTATCCTTCATTATTACTTATGTCTATTTAAGTAAATTTATATATAATTTAAAATATAGTAAAATTTTATTTTTAAAAGTGGACGTACTTATAAAAAGCGTGGATGAAAATAGTGCTACCCTTTCTCAATAACCCCAACGATATGATCAATGGACTCCTCTTGACTTGGAAACAAAAACTTCGGTTGACAATACGTTGTATCAAAAAATACAGCGTCAGCACCAATAAATTCAATCAACACACTCTCATTCTTCATTTCATTACAGTACATAAAATCATCAGTATGAACACATTTAATCACATTCTTACTAACTTCACTTTCATCATTACCATTACCTTCTCTTACTATCTACCAGGACTTCAAATAAGAACTGAACCGCATCAGGGAAGTGGTTGGCGTCGATAAGGAAACTCCCGAGCCGTCAATGAAAACATGCTGTGAGAGAGGCAATGGGTAAATGAAGGGTTGAAGGATTTTAAGGATTTGGTGGAGACGACGAGCGACAATGGAGGAGCAATAGATGATGCATTTGGACCACTAAAGCGTGCGGCCCATGTAGAGGTTGGATTGGAGTGGAGTGGGAGAAAAAGTAGGAACTGGAGAAATTGGAATCGATGTGTTTGAAATTGTTGATTAATAAAGCAGGTTTTGGGGATGAGTTTAGAGTGGGGGAGGAAGGGAGAGGGGTGAGGGGATGAGATGGTGGAGATTGCGGTGGCAGGTAGAGGGAGGAGATGGTGGTATTGTAAAGAACGGTGGAAGTCAGGAATAACGGTTCTGGCGGTTCGGAGTAGAGTAGACATGGAAGCCGGCGGTGGCATAGGTTTGAAGTTGGGACCATTGGTAGATAATAAGATTTTTAAGACTTAAAAAAAAATCAAATAAAATTGAGGTAATTCAAATTTCAATATACTTTTATAGGTTTTTGAAGGTAAAATTGAAAATATTAATATTAACATTTGTTCAAATTCTTTTTATGTAAATTCTGGTCAAAGGCTAAAAACAAGTTTCCATCCAGGAGAGTGTAACTTTGACCACGCGTTAATTTAGGAAAATAGCCGTTGGTACAACTTCTCTCTCCTTTGGTGTCTCTATATATACATACACATAACCCATGCACACTTGCATACTATACGCTCCTCAGGTTTGCATTTTTTCTCTAATTTCTTGTTTGTATTACCTTCGTACATCTCTTCCTTCAATTTTATTATTTCATTTGTATTCTGCACGACTCAGTGAGGAAGGAGAGTGAGAGGGAGTGGGAGTGAGAGTGGGAGAGGGAGAATTTTAATCTTTATTTCTAGGGTATTAAGTTCTTGTTCGAATTATTTGTTAGTAGTACCCTTTTGGTGCACAAATATGCTGCAATGTGCTTATCTCTTTTATTTTAAGTGGAAATTGTAGAGGATGTCAAAATTTGTCAAGACATTTACAAAAATATCACTTTTTCTTTAGCATTACAAAAATGTCAATTTTAGTCATATTTGCCTCTGAAACTAATTTTAAATACCCTAAATATCCTAATTATATGAGATTTGACAAATGGAAGAAATAGTACCAAATTCAGTGTAAAATGAAATTGAAAAAAAAAAGAGTAGAGCAAAAATCACTATGCACGCTTCAATCCCCATTCGAAGAACCCTTAATCTCTCATTCACTCTCTCATTTCTCTCAATGCTCCGTCGTCGAAAACTGTCCGCCACCGATGGAGTGAAGAAAACTACGACGATGACCACCATGAAAATGATACACAAAGTCTGTACACCTGTACTCTATCTCAGAAATTGCTGAACCCACTCCTATAAATCCGTGAAAACCCGCAAACTCCCCACCTTTTTGCCGTCGACGACCACCCTAAAAAATGATGACCATCAATAGAACCACTGACGATGAAGGAAGACCAGAAAAAGTGCAAACTGAATCTATTATTCTAACACCTAATCGACTGTGTGGTTGCAATATGTTCACTTGGTGTCGGTAGCTGCGGAGGAGAACGCGTTTTCAGGCCCTAAAAAGGTTAACTTTCTTTCTAAATTTCTAGAGAAAAAAAAGGATTATGCTGCATTTGGTTTTCATTTCAATATTTGGTAGTGTTGGCGGGTTTATTAGCAATCTGTTAAGGGAAAACTTTTTTAAATGTATATTTTGATTTATGCTTTGCAATTGGCTTTATCGATTTTGCTATGCTGGTTTATGGTATCTATATGGGTGAAGAATGTTGTTACTCCTGTTGGTTTATGGTA